AAAAAAAAAAAAGCAAAAATATTTATGAAATTAATTAAATATTCTTAATGAGTTAACACGAAAGGGAATATCATTAATGATATTTAAATAATTTCAAAAGTATTCTGTGATACCCCAAAAATTTCTAGAATAAATAAGTGAGTTAAGGACTAAATTGTAGAAAAGTATTATGTTGGGGCTTAATAGCAAAATTTGTTAAGTTTAGGGGCTTAAAAAGGGAAAAGATTTTGGATAAGGATCGGAGGATTTCTTTCTTCTTCCCAGCCTTGCCCGATTCTGCTCTTCTTCTCCTTTCTTCCCGCTGCAGCCCAAAGAGGGGAACCCGGCACCAGCCTTTGAGAAACCGGTGAGATAAGCTTGGTTTTGGCCTTCTTTTCTTGTTCTAGGACTGAAATTGAACCCAGAATTCTTTCCTCCCCTCTGCAGAATCCGGATCTGCTCTGCTTTGCTCTGTCCTTCTGCCGGCTGCTCCTGCTTTGTGGGGGTGATTTGCTCCGGTTTTGGGTAAGAAACAGCTACTAATCCCTCTGTTCTTCTTTGAATTGCCTTGGGTTTACGTTAATTGCTCTTATTTCCTTCAATTTTTGCAAGACCCGTGAGCTTCCCCCTACACTGCCGCCGGCTTCTCCCCCTTGCTAGGCCCGGTTCTGCAGTTGCTAAATTCTGGTATGAGGGCCACTTCTTTAAGCTCACATTTGTCCATTTATTTGCTGCCTTCTTGTCCGAATTTTCTGTCAAAACAGGGGAAGAATTGGCAGTAAATTAAAAGTGTTTTAGGCTTGATTATGTAGAATTTAGCTTGAATTAGCTGCTGTGATGTTTTATGTGAGAAATCCCGTGTGTGTGTGAGTTGTGATTTGCCAAGTTATGCTCTCCTTGTGATGCCGTGAGAAATGGGGAATTTTGGTAGCTTAAGCTATGATTTTAAGCTTAGTTTAAGTGTAAATTAGTTTGAATTGGGTTGTTGTGATTTTGGAGAAAATTCCGTGAGATTGGTTATTGTTTTGTCAATTTTGGAAGTTGAAGTTACTGTTCACGTGTACTGTTTATGGGTACTGTTTATAGGTACTGTTTATAGGTACTGTTCACACACCGAGGGCTAATAATTAACGGGAATTTGAATGTTTAGTTTGTGATATAAGAATAAATTTGGCGATGTCCGGTTATGTGGAGATTGATAGAAATAGCACTTTGAAATTGTGGTAGTGAGGTATTAACTGTGGAATATTGTGATTAGGTTCCTGATGGTTCTGTCAATTTAGCACTGAGATCGAGCCTTTGGTTTTAAGCAAGTGAGGTAAGTAAATTATGGTAACGCCTTTTGATTTTAAAAGCATGTTTTGATTTGTTTTTGAAATGGTGGCGGGACTAAACCCGTTTTATACAGAAATGAGCATGATTGATTTGAAATGAGATTTTGATGTTTTTCATTAAATTGAGCATGCCTACTTGAAATTTAATTGATTGTCCTGATGATCTGAAAGTGATTGGTGAATTATGTTTTTCTGTTAACTTCAGCCTGTTTTGTCTCCGATGTGATCATGTTTCTGTAATCCTGCTAGTGGGGGTTAAACGCTAGCACATGTCGGCACATGTCGATATGTTATTGATAATCCTGCTAGTGGGAGTTAAACGCTAGCACATGTCGATATGTTATTGTAACCCTGCTAGTGGGGGTTAAACGCTAGCACATGTCGGCACATGTCGATATGTTAGTGATAGAACCAGTTCGTACAAGTGACCCTGCTAGTGGGGATTATACACTAGTAAATCGTGTGCCTGCCAGTGGGAAGTTTAATACACTGGCCATGACCTATAGAGGAGACGTCTATTTCGTTCCCATACTGTATCCGTTTTGCGTGATTGCACATGTTGGCATGCTATAAGTTTAATAAGGGGCACTCCATATTTACTTACTGAGTTTATCTCATAGTTTTTCCTTGTCCACCATTTCAGGAAGTGAAACCGAGGACGGGGAAATCACGGGAAGTGACGAGTTAGAAGGCTAGCCATTTCGAGATTGATATAGATTTTAGATATAAATCATGATCTTGTAAATTAGAGTGTATTTGGAGATTTTATGGTATCAGAGTAAAATTTAAAGATTTGATGTTCAGATTTTGATGGTTTCAGATTGTGGTATGATAAGTACCGAGCCTTATGCATTTGTGGGATCCTCTTACGAATGCACGGCGTCTGTCGCGCCTCAAATTCGGGTTTTGGGGCGTTACATATTCATGTACTTCTTTCTTGCAAGTCATCTTGAAAAATACTCCCAAAATGTATAAACAAAAGTGTAACAAATAATTATTATGGACGGATCAAAGTTGGTGAACATAATTAGCTAAAAATTAATTTGATAGGGTTAATTGCGATAAAACAAAAGTTTGAGGGCTAAAGTGGGAGTTTAATTTACTGAACGCCAATTTTTCTTCATCTGACCGTTTATGAGGATTGCGTATATTGTATGTCAAAGCCAGTTTGTGGATTGGTCAGATGCGTCAGGCACATGCGCTGTCCATGTTCACTCATACTCAATGCTCTCTCCAATATTGTTCCATTTTTTTCAATTCATTCTGGTCTACATGTTATGCAAGGGTGACAACATATTAATTTCCTTTCTTCAGCGGTAAAGGTCTTTTTGAATAAGTTTTTGTATATTTTAAAATTAATCAGTTTAAACAATTTTAGGGATGCATTTTTTATATTGACTTAATGTATTTTTTTCAATTCATTCTGGTCTACATGTCATGCAAGGGTGACAACATATTAATTTCCTTTCTTCAGCGGTAAAGGTCTTTTTGAATAAGTTTTTGTCTATTTTAAAATTAATCAGTTTAAACAATTTTAGGGATGCATTTTTTATATTGACTTAATGTATCTAAAAAAATTAAATTTTTAATGTTATTCTCAAGATTTTAACATTAAATTTAATTTATATAATGACACTTATTTATTAGTGACAATGAATCTAACCTTGAATTGGCACAAAATAATAATTAAAAAGCAACATCTACTCATAACTAAATGCAGTATTTTAGATTGGGCTCAGAGTTTGTGTCGAGATTAAGGAAAATTAAGTCTTGTTTGTTTTAGTTATTAAGAAACATTTAGTAACTATTTTTTTAATTAAATGAATAAGGCTGTTAGAATTAATTATAGATGGGAACATCTATTAACTATTCATTATGAACTAATAATTTTCTCAAAAGAGTAATAATGTACTAATAAGAGTTTGGTCGAATCGATAATATTGGTGTAAAATTTGAGATTCGAACCTATGTTATTTTAAGCAGTTAATCTATTGATATATCAAACAAAAAAGAGTAATAATGATTAAATTATAAATAAGAAACTGTTAACAGTTATAAACTTTTCCTTAATAGCTAAATTATATAAAGAGCTTAAAAGTTTCAGACAGGTGGAGATCTTCAAAACATGAGTCTGCCTTAAAAATGCATGCAAATTGCCTCATTTGTACTAGCTATAAGCCCATAACCATCCAAACAGGAAAAAAAAAATAATATTAGTGGGAAGTTGGTTAGGAATGCTTCATCATTCACACTGACTTTGTGGCAATCTCAACCGGGCCGGTCTTTTGACTTGTTAAGAAAGAATTTAAAAACTATCATCCTATGTTCATGCATTCAATCAACACAGCTTCAGCTCTCACAAACTATAAATATTCACTTCCCTCACTCATTTTCCTCGTACCAAAAGCCCGAAATTAGCACTAGCACGATCTAGAGGACAGGGTATTAGCATTGTGGGTACAAGTAGATGTAGGCACTGTAAGAGAAATGGTTCGGAAGTTTGTGATGAACTTTGAAATCGTCATTTTAACTAATCATAAATATTGTGATAGATATCAAAAATTGGTCACAAATAACAAATGTTTAATGATGAAAAAAATTTCATTATTAAAAAGATATTTCATCACGAATAAATGATTACTAAAAGAATATAGGCTTGTAACAATAAAAATCATCGTTACAATTCATCACAATTATAACAGATTTCAAATATTAGTCAAATATACCCATATGTTTAATGATGACAAAAAAATTTGTCACAAAAAGATATTTCTTCATTGAAAAACTATCACAAAGACAATATAGGCATGTGATGATGAAAATTATGGCTACAACTCATCATAGTTGTAAGAAATTTCAAATATTGATAACAAATATACGCATGTTCAATGATGACAAAATAAATCATTATTAAAATTATATTTTGTCATTGGAAATAGTCACAAATAGAATAATAGGCTTCCAACAATGAAAGTTGTCACTACAATTTATCATAATTGTGATAAATTTAAAATATTAAAATAAATTTTACTTATATTATATTTTAATAATTAAATTTTTTTTGAATTCTTCATTTTAAGCTAATAATTTGTGAGAAATTAATATTTTAAAAAAGTTAAGACTTTTTTTTTGGCAAAAATATCAAAAGTGCTGACAAAAATTGGTTATAACACTAGTAAATCGACCTTTTTTTTTTAAGAGAAAAGACTTGATTGCATAATAACTTAAGTTTAGGGACTTAAGTGAAAATATTTTAAAAGTTAAGGACAAGAAAAGTTATAGTCCAAAGTAATAAATGGAAAAATAAAAAGTCTTAGGGTCAAAGTATTCATGAAGTAAAAGATTAAAAACCCTATTAATTAGTTTACCATTGCAGAAGTTGCGAAAAGAAATATAAAACCCAAAATGGGTTAGGTGACACTACAAAGGTAGTATTGACACCATGTATTAGAAATTTATGCAGACTTGCATTCTAAAGTTCAACTAAAAGTAATGCGAGCAGCTATTTGATGCCAACACCTAAGTAATTTTTTGTTAATTTAAATTTTTTTTGACACAAGTAACTCTTCTTTTGAAATAAGATTTATTTATTTATCTAAACATTCATTCAAGATTACAAACTTATAATATTATCTAAATAAATTCACAATAAATAATATACTTAACAACCTTCATATATGTTAGATATCATACTGCCAATAATTTAAATTTAATTATGTTCTTAACTACACTATATTCTAACTAATCAATATCAAAATAAGCAAATGAAACTAATGTATAGATAAAATAAGAAAACTAATATAAACTCTATATAATATTTATGAAATTATAGTAATACTACAACTCTTTCTAGGTAAATCTAACTTTCATAAAAGATTCCAAGTAAATAACGCCAACAATACCTAAATAATATAATAGAATAACTTAGTATATTGTAACTACCAGTTAGGAAAACCTTTGACACACTAACACAAGACCCAAAAGAGCAATAAACATAATTATAAATCATCATCTGTGTCTTTATCTAGAATCACCATTTCATCATCACTAGAAGAAGGTCATCATCATAATTAACTTCATCTTCCCCATCTTCATTCTCAATTACAATTTCTAAATTTATTAGCCTTCATTCAACATGAACCTCCTCTACCTCTTCTGGGCTTAAAATTACATTTACAACTTTCAAACAAATTTTGTTATTGTATCACTTTGATGTCCTTATCTTCTTGACACAGCCCAAATGCATTTTCATCAAAGGGAAGATCATACAAATCACTAAGTTTTTGTTTAGACTACAGCATGCCATTTGGGGTCCTTCATATTTAGCACATAATATACATATTTAGCCTTGAGTAGCCAATACAAAAAGTTCATTAATACTACTTTTCAGTTTACAAGTGATATTTACTAGCGTAAACCCATATTTATATTCTTTACAACCCTTATTAGATACATCCCACTAATCACACTTGAAAAAAAAAAACCATACACTCTCGATAATCAAACTTTATAATATTAATTATGACTCTAAAACAATTAGTGTGGTCGGTGCCTTCATCTCCTTTGACAAATACTCCATTGTTTTGTGTTTTCAATTTTATATCATGATCCTTTGTACAAAATTTCTAACCATTAACAGGATAACTTGTATATGTAATTCTCGTTTGATTAGCTTCACATGCTAAAATTTCAAGTTCCTCATCATATACCCTGCTTCCTATATATTTCAAAGGGAACACAAATAAAAAAACAAAGAAACAAACATTTAGAAAGAATCAGGAAGCAAAAATAATTCATGGATTTATGTTTAGTACTTCTAAATATTGGCATAATATAATATCTTTTCATTCATTGAACTAATAGTAAGATAATTACAATTACAATTACTTTAGATAATAAATAGTACATATAGTATTTTAAGCTGTGGAAGTCATATGACATGGAGAAATGCCTCCAAAACTAACTACACTTATTCATATTATATTAAAAATAAAAAAAAAATAATTTGAGAAGGACAAATGGTTTAAAACTAAATAAAAAATGCTTTATGGAAAACAATCATTCAAATACTAGTGCATAGGTTTCGAGAGAAATTTTTAACTTAGCTATGGACAAAAGAGTTCAGAAGTAGATTATGAGTTAGAAAATATTTTGAGCAATTTGATAATTCAATGTGGGAATTTGATGGTGAGGAAGAACATGATTTTGGATCATCAAAATGTTGTACCTATGATTTTGATGATTACAAAACACACTTAAATTACTAATTTGTTTATCTAAATGTATCATTTATGGCTTGAAAGCTAGTAAGAGTGAATGAACTTGGACTACACTAAAAAGAACAAAAATCTTAAAATTGGTGTAGAGAGTTGACTATGATTTTCTACAGCCAACTCTTGACAAATGTGGAAAACATAATAAACTACAAAGAGACGACTCCATAATTTTGTAGCCAACTCTAGTAAAGAAAAAAAAATGCTTGAAGATTTGAATATAGATTGCAAGTTTTGACCCCTAAATTCTAGAGAGCTCAAAAAGATTTGGATGTAATGTATATTTGACACTCCATTTGGAGAATTGACTCTTTGAGCTCAATATTTGACCCTTAGTTTTAAGATTTGACTCTTGGTACTCTTGGTTTGCATAAAGAAAAATTGGCAAAATTCCAAAAATTCATGAAGAGCCTCTCTGGTTTAGAGAGTCAAATCTAAGCTTTATAGATTTGACTATTGGATTCTAAGTTCGACTCCTCATTGGATAGTAATAGTTAAGTTTTCAAATTTGATGCATCTGTTGAGCATTTAAGGCAGTCCAATAGCTATATATAAATGGTTAGTTTTGACCTTAGCTCTATAAATATAATTTGTAAACATCTTGGAGAGTCTCTAGACATATATTAGAAGATCAAAAACAAGAGTTGAGCTTAGATTTGCAAATCCTTTCAAAAGTTTGAGCTTACACTTGCAACTTAAATCTTTGAGAGATTATATCCTTGGTATTCTTTCTTTCTACCATTTCTTTGTGACTTTAGTAGTGAGTGAAGCCTTCAAAAGATAACCGAAGTGAGGTTTATTGGGGTCCATTGTAAAGGGGAGTGTTTGAGTGAAAAACACATTGTAAAATGATTGGATAGCTCTTTTAAGTTACTCTTGAGCACTAGAGAAGAGTGTGGACAAAATCCTTGCTGAGTGAAGCGAAGATAAAGGATTTGGTGCCAAGTGTTTAGGTTGAGCCTCTATAAAATCACTTGTGCAATCTCTTCTTTTATACTCTCTTTGCTTTTCATTTGGTGCTTGCAAAAAGAAGAAACATTTAAGACTCCAATTCACCTCTCCTCTTGGACTATTTGAGGCAACATAAATTTGGTGTCAACAAATAATTTTAGGAGCAATGATGAAGAGGATGAATCTTATCCCACTAAGGAAAATGAGATAATTGGGATGCATTATAATGAAAGTAATTCTAATGATAATTTTAAAACATTTAACATAGTTAGCAAAAAGTAGGATTCTAACAATAGAGACAACTTCACTGAAGCAAAATCTACTTTTAAGAGGAAAATAGCTACTAAAGGTTCTACGTCTAATGGTCTGTCAAATGATTTTGAACTTGTAATGTGGGAATCACATTGAAAAAGAATCAAAAGCAATAAAATATGACTTCAAGAGCAATGGTAAACAAGACAAAAAAATGCAACATAGAAGTATATCTCTCTTTAATATTAAATATATCAATATCAAACTTATATATCTTTTGAATCATTATTCAAATTCAACAGCATGCCAATGTGCTAGCTTTTTCTTTTTTGCTCTCGATATTCAATTCTTCATTGTGCAATCTTTCAAAGAAAAAAAACTATTAACAAATTATTTACTATTAACAAATATAATATATATAGAAAAAAATTTAAACTTAAATACTTACTCCATCAAAAGGGAGATATCTTCACAATTATGAAGTATATAACTTTGAGCTTGCTCCCATTTAATCAAGCTTAACGTTTTGTATTTCTTCCCCCATAATGACCTACTAACACTCTATAATATGTTAAGCATATAAATAACTGATTCACCATTCCTTTCATAATTTCTCCCAACATGATTTAGTCTTGTCTCAATATCTTATAGATATAATGAGCAAGACGTTATCACTTTTTGTGCAATAGAAAGCTCAACAATTGATGCTTTTGGATTAGTTTATTCCTATCATATGATTTCAATCTAAGTAGGAATCTTCCAACAAAGTGTATCCATCTATAAGTTATTAGATCGATGATTATATTCTGTTTAGCCAAATGTATAATTAAATGAATCATTACATCAAAAAATGAAGGGGGAAAACCTTTTTCTAACTTGTAGAGAGTTAAGACTATTGACTCATCGAGCATATTCATGTCTTCAACACATAACTTCCTAGCATATAGTATCTTAAAAATGCACTCAACTCCATGTATTGCTGATGGAAGGAATCTGTGATATCCCAAAAATTTCTAGAATAAATGAGTTAGGGACTAACTTGTGGAAAAATATTGTTTTGAGCTTAATAATCAAAATATCCAAAGTTGAGGGACTTAAAGAGGCAAAATTTGGAAAAGGATGAGCTTCTTTTCTCTTTCTCTTTTTTTTCTTTCTTTCTTTTCTTCCTCAGACCCGCGCCTGCTCTTCTTCTTCTCCCCGTTGCAGCCACCCGAAAGAAGAAAAAAAAAGGGAACCCAACCATGCTTTGAGAAACCGGCGAGAAAGCTTGGTTTTTGGCCTTCTTTTCTTGCTCTAGAACACAAATTGAACCCAGAAATTCTCCCCCCTGTTGGAAATCCCGGATCTGCTCTGCTCTGCTCCTCACCGTCGGCTTCTCCTGCTTTGTGGGGGTGTATTTCTATGATTTTGGGTAAGAAAAAGCCATGAATCTCCCTTCTCTAGCCTTAATTTAACTTGGGTTTACCTTAATTGCTCTTGGTTTCTTGAATTTTGAGGTAGGCCGTGAGCTTCTTCTCCAAAATTCCCGCCGGCTTCTTCCCCTGCTAGGTCCGGTTTGCAGCTGGAAAATTCTGGTATGTGGCAGCTCTTCTAAGTCCCAATTCACCCCTTTAATTGCTGAAATTATCCATTTGAATTATGCCCCATGTGCTGTCCGAAAATTCTGCAGAAAAAGGGATGAATTTTGGTAGTAATTAGAGCATAATTAAGCTTAATTCATGTGTAAATTGCTTGAGTTGATTGCTGTGATTTTTGGAGAGAAAATCCCGTGAATTTGCTAGTGTTTTGGCCAATTTTTGGAAGTTGGAGTTATTGTTCACGTCGGGTACTGTTCACGACACTGTTTACAAATACTGTTCACGCACTAATGGCCAACAATTAACGGGGATTTAAATGTTTAGTTTGTGATATAAGAACAAATTTGGAGATATCTGATCAAATTTGGAGATATCTGATAATGTGGAGATTGATAGAAATAGCACCGTGATTAGGGATAGTCCTAATGAAGTTTCACTTTGAATTTCTGATAGTATATAGAATTAATTCTTGGATATTTTGATTAGGTTCTCGATCGGTCTGTTAGTTAGCATTGAGATCGAGTCTTCGATTTTATGCGAGTGAGGTAAGTAAATTTATGGTAATGCCCGTACAGTTTTTAAAAATATGTTTTAACTTGTTTTTGAAATGATGGTGGGACTAAACCCGTTTTATGCAAAAGTAAGTATAACTGATTTGAAGTGAAATTTTTATGCTTTTTATTAAGTTGAGCATGCCTACTTGAAATTCAATTGATTGTCCTGATGATTTGAAAGTGATTGGTGAATCATGATTTTTCTGTTAACTTTTGCTTGTTTTGTCTCCGATGTGGTCATGTTATTAGTGACCTTGCTAGTGGGGGTTAAATGCTAGCACATGTCGACATGTTTACTGATATGATTGGTAAATTCTGACGCCTGCCAATGGGTGTTATATGTTGGCCATGACTTATAGAGGAAACATCTATTTCGTTTCCGTACCCGTATCTGTTTTTTGTGATTGCACTGGTTGGCATGTTATAAGTTTAATAAAAGGCACTCCATATTTACTTACTGAGTTTATCTCATAGTTTTCCTTGTCCATCATTTCAGGAAGTGAAACCGAGGACGGGGAAACCACGGGAAGTGATGAGTTAGAAGGCTAGCCATTTCGAGATTGATATAGATTTTAGAAATAAATCATGATCTTGTAAACTGGATTTTAATTGGAAATTTTATAAATTCATTGAATGGATTATTAGTTACAAGAGATTTGATCTTCAGATTTTGATGGTATCAGATGTGAATTTGATAAGTTCCGAACCTTGTGCATTTGTGGGACCCTCTCACAAGTGCACGACGTCTGCCACGTCCCCGAATTTGAGTTCTAGGGCATGACAGAATCACTAAAAAAATGATAATTATGGCATTTCATCCTAGCTAAAATGCACTAATTCCCATTAACATATTGAGCAACATTAGAGGAATAACCATCAAGAACCTTATGACACTTATAAAACTACATAAAGCCTCTCTTTCCTTTGGTGATAATATGTGGCATGTAGTCTTATAACTAAATTTATTAGCATTTACTTGTTTTTCGTATAGTTTAGGTTGAATACCCATTAACTCTAGATCACAACAGGTATCAATGGAATCTTTTGTCTTCCCTTTATCATCCATTAAAGTCCCAAACAAACTACCAAATACATTTCTAGTGATATGCATGACATCCAGGTTATGTTGTATCATGAGAGTTTTCTAATATGACAATTCAAGAACATATACTCTTCTTTTTCTAACTACCAAGTAATGCATCCTCTTCTCTTTTTCTTTTTCTAAACTTGCCAAATGTTACCTAATCAAATAAGCAATTTATGACATTAACATAAATAAATAATAAAACAAAACATTAATAGCAATAATTATGTTTACATGTAAATGAAAGAAGGATAATGAGATGAAGGAGTAGAATGGTGGCATTGTCAACACTATTGTTAAGCATTTTTATAGTATTTGGGATTATTGAGATATTATAGATGTTGCATTAAAAAAAGGGATAAAAACCTACTTAACACACTTGATCGAATAGCTTTATTGTTCAAGATCTTTTCTTGTCAACTCCGTAGGTGCAATATGATGTTCTTACTTTCCATCAAAAGCCTTAGCATTGTTATGTTAGGGATGGTTGGATAGAAAAAAACAAAGATGATCCATATAATAGTGTTTGTGTCCATTTGGGAGCTATAATGAATAGGTATCATCATTGCAAATGAGACATGCATATTTATCTTTGGTACTTTGATTTCACAACACTGTTAAGCCTAGATGATCATTGATTATCAATATCAAAGCTACTCTGAACTTAAAGAAAGACTTCAAAGTTGTATTATAAGTTTCCACTCTATTATTCAACATCCTTTAATTCATTTATTAATAGTTGAAGGTACACATCAATGTCATTGCTTAAAGCTTTTGGATTAGGGATAAGTATAGACAACATGAAATATGGATCTTCTATACACATCCAAGGTGTTAGGTTGTAATTCACCAGAATAATTGGCCATACATTGTAAGATGCACTCATGTTGTCAAAAGGATTAAAGCTATTGCTAGCTAGCTTTAGTCAAATGTTGCATGGATTTGCAACAAGAGAATATCAAGTGTAGAAGTTGAAGATGCATACATGATAAATAGTGTTATAGGTAGAGTAAAAGTCAAATATTAATATTATGTTTGATGAACAAAATATTACTCCAAATAGTGCTAATTTTTTATTAGAGTTATTAAATTTAACAAAATTTATTAATAAAATAAAATGAGGTGGGGGGTTTTTTCATAATGCCAATTTTAGAATTATCAAATTTAAGTAAATCATTTCTTAATGGAGTGGGGTTTTTTGGTACAAGAATGTTTAAAATTTAAATGTATTTTGCCTTTCAAAAATGGATAATTTCAATTTTATATATTAGAATAATTAAATTCAAAAAAATTTATCCATACAATATAAAGTATATTTTCAATTTACTTTTTTTTTTTTGTATATTCAAGTTATCAATTTGTTAACAAATAATTGTAATTTTAAATAAATTCCAAATGGAACCAATGCAAAATATCTGTTTAACATTTCTATTACATCTAAACTTCTTAAAGTTAGAGAATATATATATATATATATATAATGCTAAACTAAGAGTGTCATAACCCAATTTTAACTGGGGCTGAATAATAATATTGAAAGCCAATGGACCATTTTTATAAAAGTATGAAACCTGAAGGGTTGAAAGGAAGAATTGGCAAAATGATGTCATTTTGCTTGTGGGCAAAAGTAAAAATAGAAGGCTAAGGTTCAGTCAAACCCTAGCCTTCCAAAACTCATGATTCTTGTTTTCTTTTGCCTTGCCACCATCCATTCTCCAAAATTCACAAATTCTTCTTGATTTATCCCTAAATCAACTTGAATTTAGATAGATTACGACATTAGTATAGAGAAATTTTCGCATTTGAATTTTTCATCAATAATCATAGAGAAAGATTTTGATGTCAATTCAACTTCGGAGTCTTGATTTTTAAGAGGTATGAATTTAGCCTTGAAAGGGGAAAGATGTGTGAAGAACCAAATTTTGATTTCGAGTAGAATTAAATTATTATCTATAATTTAGGGATTTGGATTAAAACTTAGAATTATATAAGGATTTGGGTTTTTTATCTGTAATTTAGGGATTTAGATTAAGACTTAGAATTAGAAAAGGATTTGGGTTCGTTTCCATTTGTTTATAAGAGGGCTTTGGCTAGCCAAGGTAAGGCGGAGAAGTGAGAGAGAAGAAATTCAAGAATAATTTGAGGAAGAAACTTAGAGAAAGCAAAAAGAGAGAAAGAGAACAAAAAAAGGAAATAAAGGACAAAGCTCAAAAAAATTTGATTGAGATAGTTGTGGGACAAAGAACAAAGGGAAAATTGGGGAGCTTGTATTTGTGTAATATCCCAAATTTTCGAGAATTTTATCATTAAGTTAGGGACTTGATTGTGAGAAAATATTGTTTTGGGCTTAATAACCAACATTTCCAAACTTGAAGAACTTAAAAAGGAAAAAGATTTTGGATAAGGATGACTTTTTTTCTTTTTCTTTTTCCTTCTTTCTTTCTTCTCCAGCCCACATGTTCTGCTCTTCCCGACCCCCCTGCAGCCGAAAAAAAGAGGAACCCAGCCATGCCTTGGAAAATTGGTGAGAAAGCTTGGTTTTCTCCTTCCTTTCTTGCTCTAGAACACACCTAGAACCCAGAAATCTTCCCCCCCTGCAGGAAGCTTCCGGATCTGCTATGCTCTTCCCTCTACTGTTCGCCGGCTGCTCTTGTTTGTGGGGGCGAATTGCTCTGGTTTTTGCCCGTGAGCTTCCTCCCCAAATTGCCGCCGGCTCTTCCCCAACCTGCAGTCCGATTTTTGGCTGGAAATTATGGTATGTGGCAGCTTCTCTAAGTGCAAGTTTTAGCCATTTAATTGCTGCCCTTTGTGTCCGAAATTCTGGATTAATTAGGGGAGAAAATTGATAGTAATTAGACCATGATTTAGCATTAATTCAAGTGAGAATTATGTGATTGAGTGTTAATTGCTTGTTGTGATTTTTGGAGAGAAAATCCCGTGAATTAGCTAGTGTTTTGGCCAATTTTGGAAGTGCAGTTACTGTTCACACATCGAGGGTCAATAATTAACGGGGATTTAAATGATTAGTTTGTAATATAAGAACAAATTTGGAGATATCTAATCATGTGGAGATTGATCGGAAATAGCATCGGGATTAGGAGTGATCTTAATGATGATTTTAGTTTGAATTTGTGATAGTACGGAATTAATTCTTGAATATTTGATTAGGTTCTTGATCCTTGGGGGTGCTTTAGTACGTGAATTGAGTGTTCGGTTTTATGCGAGTGAGGTAAGTAAATTATGGTAACGCCCTTTGATTTTAAAAGCATGTTTTGATTTGTTTTTGAAGTGGTGGCGGGACTAAACCCGTTTTATATAGAAATGAGCATGATTGATTTGAAATGAGATTTTGATGCTTTTCATTAAATTGAGCATGCCTACTTGAAAGTTTAATTGATTGTCCTGATGATCTGAAAGTGATTGGTAAAGTATGATTTTTCTGTTAACTTCTGCCTGTTTTGTCTCCGATGTGGTCATGTTATTAGTGACCCTGCTAGTGGGGGAGTTTATAAACGCTAGCACATGTCGGCACATGTCGATATGTTTTTGTAATCCTGCTAGTGGGAGTTAAACGCTAGCACATGTCGATATGTTAATGATAGAACCGGTTCGTACAAGTGACCCTGCTAGTGGGGATTATACACTAGTAAATCGTGTGCCTGCCAGTGGGAAGTTTAATACATTGGCCATGACCTATAAAGGAGACGTCTATTTCGTTCCCGTACTGTATCCGTTTTGCATGATTGCATATGTTGGCATGCTATAAGTTTAATAAGGGGCACTCCATATTTACTTACTGAGTTTATCTCATAGTTTTCCTTGTCCACCATTTCAGGAAGAGAAATCGAGGACGGGGAAACCACGGGAAGTGACGAGTTAGAAAGCTAGCCATTTCAAGATTGATATAGATTTTAGAAATAAATCGTGATTTTGTAAGCTAGAGTGTATTTGAAGATTTATGGTATCAGAGTAAAATTTAAAGATTTGATCTTTAAATTTTGATGGTATCAGAGTATGATTTGATAAGTTCCGAGCCTTGTGCATTTATGGGACCCTCTCACGAGTGCACGGCGTCTGCCATGTCCCCGGATTTGGGTTCTGGGGCGTGACAATTTGAAATTTTTTAAAAAATAAATCTTGAATTTCTTGCCTTCTTATAGGTGTATAGTTTCCTCAATTGTTGTCTATCACTTTTCACATGCATGAAAAATAGCTTGAATTGTTATTCTCTTTTCTTTCTCTTATCTATATATATATAATGCTACCGTATGCATTAAATAGGGTAAGCATTTTATATTTATCCCACCACACTAGCCCCACCCCATTCCCATTGGCATTTATAGCCAAGAGCTTGAAATTAAATCCATGAAAACAATTAATCATTTTAGAAATTTAAATATTACTAATTAATATGTAAGTTACTTGACCCTTAAAGTTATAACTTCCATTAATTTTTTCCTTCTTCATCTACCAAAAGATGAATGATCTTTAATATTACTAATTAATATGTTGAAAATAAAAATGATCTTGCCTCTTCATCTACCTAAGAATAAACCAATCTTTTCAATATTAATATTAATAATGAACAATTAATATATCATTCATTTAAATTATTTTTAGTTACCGAGGCAAATAAATTTTATAATATACCATTCATGTTTGGACGTTTATAATTGCCCTATTCCCATTGGCATTTATAGCCAAAATCTTGAAATTAAATCCATGAAAGCTACTAATTATTTTAGCAATTTAAATATTACTAATTAATATGTAAGTTACTTGACCCTTAAAGTTCTAGCTTCTATTAGTTTTTCCCTTCTTCATCTACCAAAAGATGAATGGTCTTAAATATTATTAATTAATATGTTGAAAAAAAAAATGATCTTGACTCTTTATCTACCTAAGAATAAACGAATCTTTTCAATATTAATATTAATAATGAACAATTAATATACCATTCATTTAAATTATTTTTAGTTACTAAGGCAAATAAATTTTGTAATATATCATTTATGATTGGATGTTTATAACTGCCATATTATAATTATTTATTAATAAATTTATTGCTTTCTTTACATGAAGAAGGAAAAAACTAATGGAAGTTAGAATTTGAAGGGTCAAATGTCACTATGTCCAAATTGCCATATATCTACACTATTTTTTTACTTACACTCACAATTTTGTAAGTATAGTTATCTATACCTTCGATTTACTTAGTTGTGTATATATGATTTAAATATACCTATGTATTTTAAAGAACTGTGGAAATAATATGACTTACCTATGAAAATGACTTAATGTAGGTATAAAAAGAAAACTTATACCTACAGTCAAGATCAATTATAGGTATAGAAGCCATCTATAGCTCTAAATTTCCAAAAATCATAACTATAGTACATTATCGGTTGTTAATCCTTTGGGGAAAAAAAAAAAAACAGAATCTTATGTTGGTCTCAAAAAAAGCTAACTACAAATTCAGGAGATAAGCAAAATGAAAAAAAAAAAAAATCCCACATCACTTAAAAATAAAAAATAAAGCTTATTAACACTTTGTATAAGAAAATGCTTAAATCCCACATCACTTAAAAATAAAAAGTAAAACTTATTAACACTATATATAAGAAAATGCCTAAACCCCACATCAATTAAAAACAAAAAGTATATAGTCTACAAATACCTTATATAAAGAAAAATTTTAAATATATTAGTTAAATTTTTGAAGTTTTGTAGTGTTGGACTTGGGCCAAATAATTTTATTATTGGCCTTTAAACATTTTATTATTATAATAATTATTATTATTTAAAATTATTTGAATTAAATATATGTTTTAAAATAATAATAATTAATTTTATATTAAAAATTGTATTGAAAATTTTTTAAATTTCATTTTCACTTTTGTTACAACATATGATGTTGTTATAATATGCATTTTTTTGCATCAACTTATATGGTTTTTTAATAATATACTTAGTATGTCACACCCCAGAACCCAAATCCGAGACGCGACAGACGCCGTGCACTCGTGAGACGAGTCCCACAAACGCACAAGGTTCGAAACTTATTCAAATCCCCAACTCTATTCTTGCAAAATCTGTTTTAATACCATAAAATTCAAAGTACAATCTATCTTACAAAAAACATGATTTATTTCTAAAATCTATATCAATCTCGAAATGGCTAGCCTTCTAACTCGTTACTTCTCGTGGTTTCCGTGTCTCGGGTCATACTACCTGAAATGGTGGACAAGGGAAAACTATGAGATACAATATCTCAATAAGTAAATGTATGGATAGCCTGTGGGTAAAATTTGAGCATTTCAGATAAACAGTTTAAACATAAACGAAATGTTCAATGATAAACCATTATGCAGAATAAAGTTCAGTAGCAGTCAATTAAACTTATAGCATGCCAACAATATAATAAAAACGGATACAGTACGGGAAAGAAATAGACGTCTCCTCTATAGGTCATGGCCAGTGTATTAAACTTCCCACTGACAGGCTACACTATTTGCTGGTGTTTAACCCCCATTAGCAGGGTCATTCGGACGAACCGGTTCTATTAATAACATGTCGACATGTGCTAGTGTTTAACCCCCACTAGCAGGATTACAATAACATATCGACATGGGCCGACATGTGCTAGCGTTTAACTCCCACTAGCAGGATTAGAGAAACATGACCACATTGGAGACAAAACAGGCTGAAGTTAGCAGAAAAACATAATTCACCAATCACTTTCAGATCATCAGGACAATCAATCTCCAATTTCAGAAACAACCGGAAAATCTCCATGTGAGCATGGATTTAACAGAAAACTCAGAATTTACAAAAACTCTCAGTTCATCAAAACAGTTCAGTCAATTTCCAAATAGGCATGCTCTACTCGATGCAACGAAAACAATTTCATTCCAATCATGCTCAATTCTAGAAAACAATGAAATTCTCATAAAACCATCATAATTTCCATTTCAGTTTAATCACATTCAAATGCTGATAAAATCAATTTAAACCTTGCCACCATCTCAAAAACAGTTTAAAACATGCTTTAAAATCGAAGGGCTTTACCATGATTTACTTACCTCACTTGCTTAAAACCAAAGGCTCAATTCACGGTGCTAATTGACAGAACGATCGGGAACCTAATCAAAACACCTCAGAATTAATACCTGACTATCACAAATTCAAGTTGAAATCATCATGACTAATCCCTAATCACGATATTATTCCTATCAATCTCCACATAACCGGACCTCTCCAAATTTATTCTTATATCACAAACTAATCATTTAAATCCCCGTTAATTGTTAACCCTCGGTGTGTGAACAGTGCCTATGAACAGTAAAGGTAACTTATGAGCAAAATGGTCACAAACCCTCTTAAACCCGAGTCTAATCAATAGATCAATCCCTAATTTCACTCAAAAGCTCCTAAATTACATTTATCCATCAACCGAGAAAACCCAATTTGGATTTCTACTTCCACAGACAGAAAAAATGGAAGAACAGGACTTGTATTCAATCACTTGTCTTTTGCAAAACAATACCTAAGACACAGGATTTCCTCCAGGAAATTCACAGCCAAATCAAGCAATTTATACTTAACCCAAGCTTAAAAACACATTTTATGCTACCCACAATTATCCCATAATTCCGGCGGGATCTCGGACCACACAGAGCAACTAATTGGACAACAATTAATTGATAAATTCGAACTTAAAAGGTCTGTCCATACCAAAATTTTCCAGCTAAAACCGGAGCTGCAGGGAGAAGAAGAAGCCGGTGGCAAGCTGCAGGGGAACTTACGGTCTAGCCAAAAATTGGAGAACCAAGGTTAACCCAAGCTAAATCAAGTTAAAGAGAGGAATTCATGGCTGAATCTTACCAGAAAACCGAACCCAACCCCACACAGCAGAGGCCGGCGGACAGAGGGGAAGAGGACAGTGCAGATCTGGAAAATTTCTGGGTTTAGGAGAGTGTTCTAGGTCCTAAATCTTGTTATTGAACAAGAAAGAAGGAGAATTTCAAGCCCTTTTTTTTTTTTCCGGTTTCCAAAGGAAGAGGAAGTCGGTGGCTTTGGGGGGCTTGTCGGGCTGCACGAAGAAGAAGAGCAGAGCAGAAACGTGTATGGCTGGGAAGAAAAGGAATGAAAATATCAGCTGATCCTTATCCTAATTTCCTTTCTTTTTAGTCCCCGAACTTTGAAAATATTTGTTATTAAATTTATTAATAATATTTTTTCACAATTAGGTCCCTAACTCACTTTAATGCTCTAGAAATTTTGGGGTATTACATAGTAACAATTAATATTGTTGTGAAATATTTATTTTACATACAATAAGGTTATTACGATATAAACTTTTTTATTATAACTTATAGTATTATTAGATAGGACGTTGATAGGCTTAACCTCCTCTATCTCACATCTTTGTTAAACACACTCCTTATCTGTTGCTATCCGTTACTTTACGTTAAGTACCCAACCCAGCCCTTTCTTTCTCTCTCTCCGTTCCTTTTTCCTTCTTATTGTTCACCATCCTCCTTGTTGATCAAAGCCATCAGAATCCCTCTAGATGATGAACTAGAAACATATAAAGAAATCATGAGAATCATCAGCCTCTTGAGCTCAGAAAACATCTCTCTTTTTCACCCAGCATTGGTTCTTTGATTTTCAACCTTTTTCCTTCTTTTCCCTCCTCCTCCTTTCTTTTTCTTCTTCTTTCCCTCTCCTTCCCTCTTCTTCCTTCTCTTCCCCGCTCCTTGGTCTTCTAGATTTAGGTTCTCCAAGAGAACCCAGGTCTGGGTTCTCTTAGAGACCCTAATCTCCTCCCTTCTTTTTCTTCTTCCCCATGGGTTCTTTTTCAAGAGAACCAAATCTAGGTTCTCCTAGAGGAGGATGATGGAGGAGAGAGAGAGACGGAAAAAATAAAGAGGAAGAAAGAAAGAGGAAGAAGATAATGGATGAAGAGGATGAGGATGGAGGTGAGGAGGAAGATGAATTTGTCTGGTGAGGACGGTAAACAACAAGGAACAGAAACGGAAGATGGTAACGGAGTTAAGGTGTAATTAACGAAAAGTAACGAAAATTGAAGGGTGTAACGGAGTGTGTGGATAATAAGGGTAAACCTATCATTATCTTATTAGATAATATATTTAGTAATAACAAATATTGATGCTAAATGATGATATTGAAACCATTATTTTGTTGTTTTCATTGATTTTTAACCTATAGTTGACGATTTTATAAATTTAGGTATAGATTCTCTAAGATCTTTACCTACGAATTTAAAAACTGTAATAATATTATTGTAAACGTAGCTAATTATCTTTAGTTACATAATACACTAACTACGTTATCTGATGTGTAACTATAGTATCTAAGAGGGTTATAGCTATGTTTTTTTGCAGATTTAGTAACAATTTTTGTGTGTAGGTAAATGGCAATTATGGTGTAGTGTGTCTACCATTCAAAGTCTATGTTTATTAGAGTTTTTTCATTTTTTTTTTTTTGTTTTAGAGATTTTCCTAAATCCAAATTTTGATTACAGGGTATAGTTGCTTGGATTACATTTTCTCAATATAAATAGGTATTTGATTTTAAGCATCAAATTCTTTCCTCTCTAATTATGTTACTTTTTTTCTCTGGTTTTAAAATATTTTGTTATGTAGAGGTAAATCAATTGCAAGAGATATGGAATATGTATTTCTTGATCAACTTTCACCTGATAAAGAAGATTGGGAGATTAAAGTGCGAATATGTAGATTGTGGGATGTTTTTAATTTAAAACATGATAGAGACCATCTCACTACTGAAATGGTTTTAGCTAATGAGAAGATAATTTTATAAGTATTACATTTAGTCTTTTATGTATTTAATGATTTTTATTAACAATAATTATTTGTTTGCAAAAAAATTTTATTCATGCTATCATTTGAAGTTCTAATATTCTGTGATTTAAGAATAAGTTAATTGAAGAGAATGTTTATTACGTGAAAAATTTTTCCGTGGAAAAGAATAAGGACACCTATCGTGTTGTCTCTTATAACAACTATAAGGTTCAATTTCATCTTGCTACCATTGTCAAAGAAGTAATCGAAGAAGTTGAAAAGATTCTGAGATTTGTATTTGAACTCATTGATTATGAGAAGCTTCTCAAGAAAAAGAAGAAATGGGTTTGTGGTATTTTTTTAATTTTAATATAAATTTATTAAATGAATACGTGATTATTTTTATTTAAAATACTTTTATTAAAAATTTAGATGGTATTAGAGTTTGGGTCGATGTTGGAACTCCACAAGAAAGGCAAGTGAATGGTAATAATGTTACTTGCATGGAATTATATATTAAAGATTAAAGGTAATTCATATTTAAATAATTACATGAAATTTATTTGAATTTCATTTTTCTTTAATTGAATAAAATATAATACTTGATCAATTAATTATAGATAGTTGTTTAATATTGTTTTAATTTTATTAAAGGAAAAACCATTTCAATGTAACACTTTGGTCTTCCGCTGTAAATCAATTTGAGCAAATTAGATTTTTTAATTACTCACTCAAATGTGGAAGTCATTATATTCACATCTATGATCATCAAGGACAATAGAGGTAAGTATATAATGAAATTTATAATTTTTTTATTTTTTATTAAAATAAAAAATCTCAAAAACTATGCATTTTGATTTTTTTGAAAACCATTTTTGTATTAGGAGTTTCTTGATTAATTTTTTTCAATTTTTAAGAATTATGAATTTAGTTAAATAAAAATTAAAAATAACGGAGGAAGATGAAAGAAAATAATAGAAGTATGAGACAAAAATATTTGATTATTAGATTAACAATTAATAAAGTTTATATTAAAAATGGAAAAAAATGCTACCTTATATATAAAGAAAATCTATGTATCCAACAATGAATAATTTATATATATTATATAAAATACTACCCTCAAGAATTAAATAGCTGCTAAAATTTGTTATATGTAAAATAAAAAATACTTATTTCTATTAATAATTTCTTAATACTTAAATCAATTAAAAATAAAGTTTATATTAAAAATGGAAAAAAATGCTACCTTATATATAAAGAAAATCTATGTATCCAACAATGAATAATTTATATATATTATATAAA